ATAAGGGTGGCATATCAAGGAGAGGTGTACATTTGGATATAAGGGTGGAAACTGTATATGTGTGTTATACAATATAACTCTTACTATCATATCCCTTAAGATTACTGTGGTTCTTTGTGATTTAAAGATTTAGGATCAGGGTTCTTATTGAAAATCATAGTCTGGATGTTATTGAGGAGCAAATAACAGGTTTGGCCTGAAACTTTGTTTAATTGAAAAGGTTTGAAAAGTGGCATTATATGAAACCTGGTTGGTTCAAACCTATAAAGGTTTGGAGTATGTTATCTGAATAGCTGAATGCTTGGCTTGAAAAGTGGAAAGGTATTGGTAATATGTCCTTATCTGTTCATATATCTGTTATATATATGAAAAGTTATTTTGTACAAAGTTTTGGTGATTTTCAATCTGCAATAACATAAATAGGGTAACTCGCTAGACCTTTTGGTCTAACCCTCGTTTGTAATTTTAAATATGTATTGCAGGATGTGCTGAAGGTAAGGGGAAAGGGAAAATGTGATAATTTCCCTATATATTTACCTGCATGAGGATTAATGATGTATAAACATGTATTTCCTGTATGAAGTATGTGTTACATGCAATGTATGGTATGGGGTGTTACAATATTTCACCAAATCTAAGTTCTCTCCAATGATTTTGTTGTCATGTTCAAGAGATGGCACCTTAATAAAGAAAATATCATCAACAAACAGTATTCGGGTAACAACCATCAATAGATATATGCATACATGCACAAACATGGTGATATAAGGAGATATAATGCTCAATAGAGATTATGCCAAGGTTCTTGCAGCTATATAAATATAAAGAAAACTTGATCGATTGACTTTTTAAACCATCGATTTTGTAAAAAAAATATCAATTAAACACAAAACTTGCAAAAATGTTTAGCAAATTATGGAAATATAAGTACCAAAATCATCACCCTTATTGCTATCCAAACTTAGTGTAGTGTTTTGTTTCTTCATAGTTTAACTGCAAATACAAAATATAACATATGATGATGATTCAAAAAGTTAATCACTCGTATATATGTTTATTTACTGTTTCTTGAAAAAATGAAAGGGTGATTGAAAATATTTGAACTTGATTTTGTTACAGACGTTGAGGTGTTTAGCTCAAAACAGAGAAGCAGCAAGAAAAAGCAGGCTCAGGAAGAAGGTTTCTGTGGGCAAGGATTTCTGTGTATTACCCAAGTTAATTTGTTGTTCAATTTCCTAAGATTTGTAAAAGCTCAAGAGCCAAAACATGGAACAGAGAATAAGCAAAAGACATAAAGGTGCATGCAAAGCATTAGGAATCTACCGTATTCAACTGAGGCCTCCCTTTGAATTTGCTACGAAGTTGAAGACACATTTGGAGAATTGCCTTGTATCAACAGGCTCAACAACAAAAACCAGTAGAGCATAAAGACCCAACCAATTTAAGATAAAGAAATAAAAGAAGAATTTGCATTGAGAATACCGACTTACCCTTGATGATTATAGGCCGGCTTCAGCAGGGTCATCCTACTGGCATCAAGAAGAGTTGGCGATGTTTCTGAAACCATAGAATGAGAATGTTCCATGGGTTAGAACACCTTCATAACTAAACCATGGGTCTAGGCATGTGTAAAAAATCTAGATTCCCTCCAAAGTTACCATAAAAATCTAAATTTCATTTTGATGGGAACATCAACATTGTCTGTACAACCTTGGAAGTCGAGCAAATGCAATTCTTAATATCGTAAAATAGTCAGGGATCAATAACAAAATCTACAACTCGAGATGCAATGGTTATGTTTCAATTGAATAATTCCATATAATCATCAAAATTGCTCAATTTTGAAGGTTAGAAACAACTCCATTTGGACTATGAAAAGAATGAAAACCAGATAAATAAGAATCTCATGTAAAAAAATGTTCCACCAAAGAAACCTTCATGTACCAACAAATTGTGACATGGGTCAATCCTTCTTTAGGACCTAACCGAGCCAATCCAAAATTTGAAAGCTTAGCATTCCATTGATCGTTTAGAAGAATATTTGAAGATTTGAAATCTCTGAAGATAATCTATAGAAACATCAAACACGACAAAATTAGAGATCTTGTATGCTAGGAATTCATAGTTTTCCAAAACCAGAAAATACCTGGAAGTCCATTCCTTCATGATTCATTTTGTAAGGGTTGATGTGACTTATGAAATCGAAGGAGAAGAGAGGCATGATAAAGTAGTAATTGAGTTGGTTTATTGCATCACAATGGTCGGGATTGAACATGTGCCACCATTTCACGGATCCATAGCCTAAGATTAGTGCTACATAGAGTGGAAACATAGCAGATAGTACATTGTAAACGTCTTCCCACCCTATCAAACTTACATCTAAAAAGAGATTGAAAATATATTCTCTTTATAAAGATTATCATTGTGAATTACAGGATCAACTTCTCAAAAAATTTCTTAAGAGTTAAGACCTACAAAATTAAGAGCACATGTTAATTCATATAGTAACAGTGTAGAAAACAAAATACACATCCTACACTTTTGACATCACAAAATATTTACTTCTAATTCTTCATAATGAACCGTTAGGACTGAAAATCAGTGTGAAATTGTATTCGTCTTGAAAGTTAATTTTGTCTGTAATTGTATAAAAGTCACCGTGTTTGACTTTTCATAGGTCGT